GGAGGACGAAGGCCAAGGGGAAGAGGGCCTCGATCGCTGATGCAGGGGAGAGCAGCGGCGATTGGAAGCGCTCGACGCCGGTAGAGAAAGAGCCGCTCGATTGCTCGGACGAAGGCGGAGTCTACGGCGTGGCCGTAAAGGCCACCGCCGGCGGCGGCCTACTGTTCGTGGGAGGAGGAGCGGAGAAATTTGGAAATCGAGAAATAAGAGTTCCAGTCACTCCTGGGCTCTCTCAGCGATTAGGGATTCTCGGTCGTTGGATCGGTTCCCTTGATGCGTTTTCATCCGTTGGATCGACATCTGGAGAAATCTGGGCCGTTGGATCTGGGCTCGGCACTGCTGGAATGAATAGTAATGGCAACATAATGTAAATATCATGCCCCCACCAGGGCATTTTGGTCATTTCGCGTGGTGGGGTATAAAAGGGCCGGCTTCCCTAGTGAACCCTAGCCTCCTCCTCTCCCCGCACTCGCGCCCCCTCCCTCGCCCGCCCCGTCCCGCTCGCCCGCCCAGCCCCGCCCCGCCGCCTCGTCCATCCTGCCCCGCAGTCCCGCCTCGCCCGTCCCGCTCGCAGTGGCGGATGCCCCGCGGCCTCCCCCGGCCCCGTCGTCCCGCCCCGCCGTCTCGCCCGCCCCACTCGTCCCGCTCACCGTGGCCGTGGCCGCTGACCACGGCCCCGTCGTCCTGCCCCGCTCGCCGTGGCCGATGACCGCGCCACCAGGGACCGCGGCCACTCGATGAGGAGGCCTGGACCTTGACGCAGACCCGTGCCCCCGCGCGGCGGTGGCAGATCCCTCATCGCGGAGCCAGCCCTCTCGCCGGTGCCACGCCGCACCGCGATGCCGCTGGCTTGGAGGCCCTTTTGTTCAGGCATCCGCCACGGCGTCGCCAGATGCGGTGGCAGGCTCTCAGGGGACCGCTTGGCAGGGGGGCCGTCGCGGCTTCCGGTGGCGCCAAGCTGTAGATCTGAGCCGCCGTTTACACTTTGGTTTCGATTTGGTGCCTCCACTCCTCACCACCTCTCCCTCTCTGATCTTGGTTGTTTGTAGGCCTGGGCTTGTAGGTTATTTGTCTTCTCTGTATGTAGATGTTGTTGGATTCAGACCATAGTCGAAAGATGGGGGCCTTTTGTGCTCTCGGGTTTGGCTATATTCCAAGTATTGAGATTTCTCTCAGGTCTGGCTAGGTTCCAAAGATGTCCACAGAGTCTTTTGTGCTCTCAGGTTTGGCTAGATTCCATGTATTTGGATTTTTTGGGTCAATGGTCTAGCTAGGTTGGCTAGGTTCCAAAGCTGGCCACTTCTCTGTGGCCTTTTGTTTTGCCTTGCTTGGACTCGATGGGAGAGAGATAAGGGTTGGGCTAGGTTCCAAAAATGGCCACTTTTCTGTGGCCTTTTGTGCTGACTTGCTTGGACGTGATGGGAGAGAGAGAAGGATTTGGCTAGGTTCCAAATATTGGGATCTTTTGGAAGTTAAGGTACTCATGTGCTATTTGTTATATTGTAAAGTATGTATATGGGGTATTCCTTTGGTTCAAAATGAATACTAGGTTAAGATCCTTACACTTGAAATTTACTCCCTCCTTCCATCTATATAGGGCCTAATGCGTTTTTCGAGGCTAACTTTGACCAAATATTAGAGTAATAATATATGACATGCAACTTAAACAAAGCACATAATTAAATTCGTGTGTGAAAGGAGATTTCAATGATATAATTTTCACATTGTGCATGTCATGTACTATTAATCTTGTCAATAGTCAAAGGCAGTCTTAAAAAACGCATTAGGCCCTATATAGATGGAAAGAGGGAGTATCATTATTTGGATACTCTGCAGTGTTGTTTTGTTTACTAAATTCTCCAGTTATTTTCAGTTTCAATTAGGCTCTGTGTAGTGATTATCTCGGCTTTTGCAATAGCAACTATACCATCGTGATGTGTAATTACAGATTGTTTTAGTGTTATAATTTGTTCTGACTTCCATGATTTATAGTACTGACATATTGAGCTTGTATGCCCTTTCCATGAATTGAGTTCTATGTAAGTCTTGGCAATGCATTGACATGGTTCTGGTAGCCATTATGATGCATGATACACCACAATGTCAGTTCCTTTCTATCACTGATTTTTTGATAAATCTTGCTGCAGTGATACCCAAAGAACGATATGGATGTGAATGAAAAGGGTACTATTTATTAGTCTTATAGTGGCCTGACATGCTATCGAATTTTTTTAGTATCTAAAAAGGCGGACTAGTTTTGGAATGAATGTTTATATTTTCCATTACATTTGGTCATAAGATTTTACTTTGTTTTGCCAGGAGAGTTTCACTTCATGTAGCTACTACACCAGGAGAATTGTATGCTTGCGCCGAGGAAAATGTTATGCCGACTGTGGACAAGTGCCCTGAACTCACCTATGCCCGATATGGATGGCTTTTCAATTTTGTGCCTTCACTTCTAGATTGTAATTGTGGGTGTCAAAACCGGCGGATCTCGGGTAGGGGGTCCCGAACTGTGCGTCTAGGCCGGATGGTAACAGGAGGCAGGGGACACGAAGTTTTACCCAGGTTCGGGCCTTCTCGATGGAGGTAAAACTGTTGGGTTTCATAGTAATTTCAAAAAATTTCCTACGCACACGCAAGATCATGGTGATGCATAGCAACGAGAGGGGAAAGTGTGATCTACGTACCCTTGTAGACCGACTGCGGAAGCGTTAGCACAACGCGGTTGATGTAGTCGTACGTCTTCACGATCCGACCGATCCAAGCACCGTTACTCCGGCACCTCCGAGTTCTTGGCACACGTTCAGCTCGATGACGCTCCCCAGGCTCCGATCCAGCAAAGCTTCGGGGAGGAGTTCCGTCAGCACGATGGCGTGGTGACGATCTTGATGTTCAACTGTCGCAGGGCTTCGCCTAAGCACCACTACAATATGACCGAGGTGGAATATGATGGAGGGGGCACCGCACACGGCTAAGGAACGATCATGAAGATCAACTTGTGTGTCATGGGGTGCCCCCTGCCCCCGTATATAAAGGAGCAAGAGGGAGGGGCGGCCGGCCTAGGAGGGGGCGCGCCAAGGGGAGTCCTACTCCCACCGAGAGTAGGACTCCCTCCTTCCTTGTTGGAGTAGGAGAAGGGGAAAGAGGGGGAGAGGAAGAAGGAAAAGGGGGCTGCGCCCCTTGTCAAATTCGGACCAGAGGGGGGGTGCAGGCCTCCTTCCTTTTGGCCTCTCTCCTCTATTCCCGTATGTCCCAATAAGGCCCATATACTCCCCGGCGAATTCCCGTAACTCTCCGGTACTCCGAAAAATACCCGAATCACTCGGAACCTTTCCGATGTCCGAATATAGTCGTCCAATATATCGATCTTTACGTCTCGACCATTTCGAGACTCCTCGTCATGTCCCCGATCCCATCCGGGACTCCGAACTCCTTCGGTACATCAAAACTCATAAACTCATAATATAACTGTCATCGAAACTTTAAGCGTGCGGACCCTACGGTTCAAGAACAATGTAGACATGACCGAGACATGTCTCTGGTCAATAACCAATAGCGAAATCTGGATGCTCATATTGGCTCCTACATATTCTACGAAGATCTTTATCGGTCAGACCGCATAACAACATACGTTGTTCCCTTTGTCATCGGTATGTTACTTGCCCGGGATTCGATCATCGGTATCCAATACCTAGTTCAATCTCGTTACCGGCAAGTCTCTTTACTCATTCCGTAATACATCATCTCGCAACTAACTCATTAGTTGCAATGCTTGCAAGGCTTAAGTGATGTGCATTACCGAGAGGGCCCAGAGATACCTCTCCGACAATCGGAGTGACAAATCCTAATCTCGAAATACGCCAACCCAACATGTACCTTTGGAGACACCTGTAGAGCACCTTTATAATCACCCAGTTACGTTGTGACGTTTGGTAGCACACAAAGTGTTCCTCCGGCAAACGGGAGTTGCATAATCTCATAGTCATAGGAACATGTATAAGTCATGAAGAAAGCAATAGCAACATACTAAACGATCAGGTGCTAAGCTAATGGAATGGGTCATGTCAATCAGATCATTCACCTAATGATGTGATCCCGTTAATCAAATGACAACTCATGTCTATGGTTAGGAAACATAACCATCTTTGATCAACGAGCTAGTCAAGTAGAGGCATACTAGTGACACTCTGTTTGTCTATGTATTCACACATGTATTATGTTTCCGGTTAATACAATTCTAGCATGAATAATAAACATTTATCATGAAATAAGGAAATAAATAATAACTTTATTATTGCCTCTAGGGCATATTTCCTTCAGTCTCCCACTTGCACTAGAGTCAATAATCTAGTTCATATCGTCATGTGATTTAACAGCAATAGTTCACATCACCATGTGATTAACACCCATAGTCCACATCGATATGTGACCAACACCCAAAGGGTTTACTAGAGTCAGTAA